ATGTCAAAATTGAACTGCCCTCTCTCAGCAGAGGCGGATGGATATAACTTAATCTGTCTCCAATCTACAACACAGTCTTTTCAGCAGGTCCAAGAAGGATCCACACCCTTTTGCACTAATCAGGTCATCCTGAGGACACAGATAAATTTTCAAGTGGCCTCAGCAACTTTCTCACAAATGATCAGCTGTCTGCAAGGAGTATAAATCCTTCCATTCCTCATGCATCGAGTCAGAGCTAAAGAAGCTTCTTGGATGAGAAGCGAAATGCCTTCAAAAAAACCCAAATCCAATTGCCTCTTGAAAAAGCATATTTGGGACAAACATGACCTGGATGACTAAAAATTTCCATGGAAATTTTTCCATCTAGTATGAAAGTATTTCCAGCTCAGTCCATTTTACTAGATTTTAGCCAGAATATATTTTCCAACGCCCAGGTTATCATAGTCCCCAAACAACAGATCAGGGCCTTTGTTGCATCATTGTGTGGCTTAAGTTGAAAATATATAATTGAGTATCTTTCACCTCATGCTGATGGACCTCTCCAGGCAGCTTCATGTATTTGTGCAGCACAAAAGGTGCCTAACCTTGTAGCATCCAATATTCAAGCTCCTGTGGACCCAACATTTCTGTTCCCAAATGAAAATGAACCCTCAGGTAGGAAGAATATGACTCTTAAGATAATGCCCATTCCTCCAATCCTCAAAGCTAGTCCAGAAGATTATCATTGTTGAAGATGTTCTATCAAGCTGAAGGCTTTGTAGTTGTTGTGGAAATAATTCCTCTTCTTTCTGCTGTAAAAGTTTTCAAAGCTAGTCATATTATTTATATATGACAAATGTAGCTTTGTAATCATAGCATCTTTTAGAGATAGTTGCAGGTATGCTGTATTCAACAATGAAGGAATCTGTTGTTCTAACCGCTACACCACCACAGTTTTAGACCATTTTATTAGTTTGAAGTCATGATAAATTGCTAAGATTTCTATTATACAGATTAGCACAAACTAGTAAATTTTGAAGGGTTTTTGACTTGGGCTTTTGTAACACAGTTACATGAAGCATCTGTTCTATGGATCCTCTTATATACTTCCTTTTTTCTCTTCTATTTTTGATATATTCAGATAATAGAATCACACTCAACCTTGTACTTCAGAAGCAAGCTGAATCTTCTTTCTATCATAAAAAATCCTGGTCTCTTGAATATTGCAAAACAAGTGATGAGATTACTCCAAATATTTTTTGCTGATGCTCATATTTGGTTATGAAGTAATTAGTATTTTATTTAGCATTTTTTTCAAATTAAGGAATAGATTTTAGAAACACAGCTTAAATTCTAAAACAAAAGGATTAACTGAAGGAAAATATTACAAAAGATACAACATTTTCATAATATTTTCTCATTGAATACTTTTTCAGTGCCTGAGATTTTATTTGTGTTTTTGAATATGACTGTGTTATGGATGAAGAACATAATAGTTGTATTAGATGCAGCCAAGACCTATTTTAAGTCCAGCTTTGGCTTTGTTTCACAGTGGCTAGTCATGTGCTTCTTGTATGCTCAAAAGGAGGAGGTGGAGACATTTCCCCACTACTGTTCCATTGAAATTAATACTTAGAGAACTGGTTAAGACCGTGAAGATTTATAGAACTCAGCCTCAATCTTATCTTACACTTCTAAGTATTACAAGTGTAAGATAAGATTGAGGCTGAGTTCTATAAATCTTCACGGTCTTAACCAGTTCTCTTTTTAAAACCAATGGTCTTCACTACACCTTGTTTTCAACAAATTGGTTATACACTGTGTAAATAGATAGTTTCTTTTTCTTTTCTAAATCTCCTTACAATCAGCTTTGTTGGGTAGCCCTATTCCTAGTCTTTTGAAAATAGAAAAACTTCTCTTTTTACATTCTGTACCCCATATATGATTTTAAACTTCTCTATTATGTCTCCATTTGGTTATTTTGCCCCCAAGGTATAGTCTCAAACATCCTTTCCATCCCAGAAAGAAGTATTCGAAGCCCTGATCATTTAGATTGGCCACTTGTTTTTTTCCCCCGGCTCTGTTACATCTTTTTCAAAATGTGACCAGAAGAATTAACACAGAACAAACCATGTGTTTGTAAAAGAACATTATAAAATTGGCCATTTTTATTTTCAGTAATGTTTTAAATTATCCTAATCATAGAATCCCCCCCCCCCCATAGCAAGTCTGACATATTGATTTACAATAAACTTTGTTTTGTATTTATTTCTTGAGAAAATCAGTATAAATTGGATGAATGTAATTTCTTTCAGAGGAATATAAAAGTTTTATAATCTGTCAGCAAAATCAATTAAATGTCAATTCTAAAATCTTTTAAAATAACATACCTTGTTTATTTATGTTGCATGAAATTGTTCAGCTCACATAGCAACCAGAGATATCTCAGAAAACTTTCCTTGTAAAAACTTATTACCTTGTCTTACATATAATTCCATCATGTTTTGATGTCCTAATATCTCTTACCATATTATAAATATATAGTGTTATTTTGTATATCACAATAATTAACAGCAGCATGATTTTCTCTGGAGCTAAAATGACAATAGAAAATGAAAACGATAAAATGCTCCATTCTCCTCCACGATGTTATAAGAGTCCAGGATAGGGAAAAACTCCTCCTACATCATCAAGCTGAGTCTGCCAAGCCTATAAAAGCCAGCCTGTTGCTAGCCCCCACCTTTTGATTCAGCTCCTTGTCATGAAACAGGAAGTATCTCGGCTGCGTAGAGAGAAAGCGAAAGTGAAAGGAGAGATTCCACATGGCTACAGAAGCTCCAGGTGACTTGGTAGAGCCTGGACAACCGCGGAGGGCGGGGATCTGCTCTCCTCCAGCCCCGGAGCTTCGGTGCTGGCTTTTCTGGGCTCCAGGAGGCTGTACATTTCAAGTTTCTTTGCTGACCTCATATTCATGGTCAGTTCCTAGAATTAATAATTCCAAAAACTCATTGGAGACTCATTTAAAAATCTTCCTCAAGAATCAATTATTGTATGTGACTTGTTATTTGCATTGGAACAAGATCATTTATTCTACATTGTTTTACAATTTAAGGAAAATGAAACAACGTTTTGAACCTTAATTTTATTATATGGTATCTATGAGTTTATATGCATCATCATCATCATCATCATCATCATCATCATCACTACTACTACTACTACTACTACTACTACATTTTATGCTATCTTTTTATATATAAAGGTTGTGAACATACCCAATACTCCTGCCTCCTGTTCCCTTACAACAGCTCTGTGGGGTAGGTTGAGCTAAAAAAGAATGACTGGCTCAAAGTCACCTAGCTGGTTTTCATGCCTAAGGAAGGACTAGTCTCATGGTTTCTAGACCAGACTAACCATTGCACCAACGGGCTCCCTGCATTGCTACTTTATTCAATTTTAAAGTCTATAGAGATTCTCAATCATCCAGGTCATAGTTGTCCCAAAGGTGTTTTTTTCAGGAGGCAACTGGCATTTTTTCTTTTGAAGATGTTTCGCTTCTTATCCAAGAAGCTTCTTCAGCACTGACAGGATAGTGGAGAATGGAAGGATTTATATTCCTTGTAGACAGCTGGTCATTTGCATCCTTTTAAAGAATGGGTGTCAAACTCGATTTTGTTGAAGGTTGCATCAGGTTTGTGTTTGACTTTGGGTGCTAGGGTGGGTGTGGCCAACATGACATCCTTTGTGTTGGGGGCACCTGTGCCAGCAAAAGGGCTCCTGAGCTCCATTTCTGGTTGTGACGGCCTTCTGCAACCCTCTGTCAGTGAAAACAGAGCTTGGGGGACCACGCATGGCCCTTGCAAGTTCCATTTTTGGCTGGGACAGCTTCCTGAAACCTCTGCCAATGAAAATAGAGCTTTGGGGGGGGGCACACACGGCCCGCAGAAGCTCCATTTTTGGTTGCTAGGCCTGCTGCAACCCTCCGCCAGTGAAAACAGAGTTTGGGAGGGCCACGCACAGCCCTCCCCTTGCGAGCTCCTTTTTTGCTGGCAGTCCTTTGCTATTTCCAGGGCAGCCACATAGGCCAGATCTAGGTATCCAGTGGGCCGGATCTGGCCCACGGGCCTTGAATTTGACACCCCTGCTTTATAAGCTGCATAACAAGCATAGTACAATCTTTAACATTCTTTATGAATGGAGAGTTAAATGGAAAAAATTGAGAAAGTAAATTATCCAGTACAGGTGACTTGACTTATAACAGTGCATTTAGTGATCATTCAAAGTTACAACAGCACAGAACATAGTGCCTTATGACATTTTTCACATTTTATGACCATTGTACCATCCCCATGTTCATGTGATCAAAATTCAGACACTTGGCAACTGACTCATATTTATGACAGTTGCAGCATTCCAGGGTCCACCTTTTGTGACCTTCTGACAAACAAAACCAACAGGGAATCTTTGTTACTATCTTAACAACTGCAGTGATTCACAACTTTACAATTACAATGTTGGTAAAATTCACTTATAAAATGTCTCTCGGCAACAGAAATTTTAGGCTCAATTGAGTTCATATATCAAGGACTACCTGCATTAAATAGTATTTTTGCACTTTATGTATTTATAAATTATTTATATTGAGCCAATCAAATCAACAGCAACATGTAGAGTTATTCCTCAGTGATACTGTAAGATAGGAAAAGTTTTTTAAAAGTGACAACAAGTGCATCCTAAATAACAGATTTAGAAGTCTGAGAGTTCTTTAAACTAGATTTTAAGAAAAAGAAAAGTACAATTAACCTTTGGTGATTAAATTTGAAACAGATTAATAAAGACAAATGAATAAATAGCATATGTTTTGAAATTGTTCTAGTGTTTTGGGTTGTACTTTCAGAGTTCAATAAAATAAATTGGGCTTGTTGGATGTTTGATTTCTTTAATAAAATAAAACTTACTGTATTTGATAATGTTGTGAATTCACACAACTTTTCTAATAACTCAATCTACTTCATTTACAGGAAGTGTCCATCAAAGCTTGCTTGCTTCAACAGACAAAAAAATTAATGGGCAAAATTACAGTTTTTAGGTAGGTAGATATTTTCCTAGTGTGTGTTAGGTGATTCTTTTAGCAAGATTTTTAAGTGGTTGATAAGTATTTTTTTTGCTAAACATTTGAAGAAGTTTAGGAATAATAAGATAAATTTGTTATATATTTATTTGTTGTGTTAAATATATGTATGGTTGAAAAAATGAGATCCAAATAGGACTGTAGCTCCTGGAATAGATTTAATCTTAAGGCTATGGTACTAAAAATTAACTCTCTTAAAACTGAATTGGTAATATTTTATTTGCTGCTGTTTGCATTCTCAGTAAATCATACATGACAATTAATTGTAATATTTATGATAATTTTAACGCTTACAGCATTATTTGCACGGTATTTTGAAAAGCTTAAACTTTCCCAAATGCCAATTTTTCAAGATAATATTTATTTTAATCTTAACATTTAATTGCCTAGTCATATTCACTAAAATTCAAGGGTTGATGATTCCTTTACTGCAGGGAATTTGATAAATGGTGAAATTGGTATCAACTTTTTTTTAAAAAAAGTCTCCCCTCCCCTATATATTTTGCTCAGCAGAACAGTAGCTTCATATTGCACATCATAGTTGGTCAGGGAAGAGTGACTGGGAATGGAAATTAACATTCTGGTCTTGCAATACTAGTTTTTCTTCTCTAATTTGGAATATAGAAATGGATATTTTCCCGAGGTTAATCATGAGCACGCTTTACCCTATTTAACTTGGATTCTTATCTATAACTTCTTCAGAGAGAATTCATTATGTATAAACAGCTTTTCTTCCAAAGCAGTCCAGACTTTTCCAGAAATATCCTAGCTGCTTACAGTAGTTATATCACACACATTATGTAGTGCCTTGAAAGAAGTATTGGCTTGGTTGGCAAGTCCAACACTAGAGAAGCTACTTCCAAAGTGGTTACTTGTTTTTACTGGATCTTTAATTATTGCCTCAATGACTTAGCTAATCTGGAGAAATTTGGAGAAAGAAGATCTTGCATCTCTATTGCAGGGGGTGTCAAACTCATGGCCCGGATGCATGACGTGCTGGCCAAGTCCATGCCTGGTTTAGCGAAGGGGAAAAAAGTCGCTATCTGTCACGTGGCGACCCTGTGGCGACATGAGTTTGACACTCCTGCTCTATTGGATAATTCATAATTATCTTGATAAATCTATCTTTGTAACTGTAGATTTGAGGGTTTACCTGGTACTAATACTTGAGCTGAAGTTTTTCTAGCCATAGCTACCTGGATATTTAATGCAACAGCATCATAGGCCTGAAAGCTGTGGAAGGGAATTATGATAATTCATGTTGGTTCTTTTAACCACTCTGAGTCTTTGATCAGGATAAATATCAATTTGGAATATATGTAATTCAGTTGTGTGCATTTATTACATTATTTGGGCAGCACTAACTTAAAAGCAATGCCTGAAAATAAAGATATTTCCACTATAGAAATAGTATAATGAAAATAATAAAAATTTGAAATAAATAAAACTAGTGTTATTATTGTCACATGGTTGTGACAGCCTTTCTCCACCAGCATATAGGCAGCTTCAGTCTAGATTAATTACAGTTTTCAAATAGTTTTCAAATGCAGATCAATGTCTGGCATATTGCCTAGTCCATCCTCATAATGGTGAGGCCGTGAGTCACAGTTGTCACAAAATGCAAATATTTATAGGACTGCAAAATTTTTAATTGATAAAGAGTCATTGAGATTGATAAAGGATTTTGGGATCAGTGTATTTGAGCTTTTCTGGCCTAATATTTGTTTGAAGTGTTGATAACATGTATGGGCATTCTCACAAAACAATTGCTGTGATGGGATGAAAGTCACATGGTGCCCTTTTACCAGAAAATTAAATAATAATATCATGCCCCATCATTTCCTTGAATCTTGTTGGATGCTTTTAAAATTCATTTTGCGGGGCAGCAGGTGGTTAGAATTCAAGTATAGTACTGGGCCACAGGCCTGTCATTGATGGTTTTTTAAAAAATGCCTCAAGTTTATTTGGGGATCCAGTCCGATTCTTGAAAATAAAAATAAGTATTCTTTGGATTTGTGCTTTGCAGCACTGTAGTTTCCTATTTACTTGAAAAATAAAAGAACATAAATCAAGTAAGTGCAGAGATAGAGATGTCTTTGGCATGGTAGCAATTTGTTTGGTTTTCAGGGTCCAGCTGACAGGTTCATTGCTTCTCTCTCTTCCCATAGTTTCTAAGGAATCAGTACCAATTCCAGGACGGTTATTATCTAGTGTAGTTCAGGATTTCATTGCCATCGTCACTAGTATTTTTTCATTGAACTGATAGTATTGGTGTATTGATATGTCTTTAATATGGTTGGATAATTTCTACTGATATTTAGGTTTTCAGGGGCTTTTCCTGTTTACAAAAGTTGATAATCCATTTATATATAATCTGGAAGTAAAAAGATTGCTGAACGCTATGGCAGTTTTGCTCACTAATACAATTAATAGATTTATTGAAATCTTAATTTTTCTCTACAATGAGGAGAGTTTTTCCATTGAACAGAGTATATATAAGTGCACTTTGGATATTGAAGGAAATGGAAAGATACTCAGAATTGTGGTTTAAAAATCATAAATCCAAGTGAGCAAGAATTATAATTATCTTTTGAGATTACATTGTTTCAGTAACTGAAATGAAGAAATGTTCTCATGAAACTGAGAAAACTAGCAAAGATCAAAGCACTTTGGTTTCCATATTTGATCAAGGAAAAGATTGCTTCATTCTTTCCTTGGCAGGACAGTATTTAATGCATGGATTCAGTATTCTTCAAAACACTTGTACTTACTATTTACATGTAAAAGTAATTGGAATTCCTATGTGAGTTTCATACCGTTGAGTAGCTCACATTATAAGCTGAGTACCTTCCTGAAAGTATTACTAATTCTCATCCACGCTGCGATGAGAGTCTAGGAATGGGATACTCCTCCCTCTGATGTCATAGAGCTGAGTCTGCCACTATAAAAAGCCAGCCCTTAGCTGGCCTGCCATCTTTTTGACTCAGCTTATTGTCTTGGATCTTTGTCTCTGGAAGGAGTAATATTGAGCTAAAAAGAGTTTAGCAACAGCGATTTCTTTTTCAAGGCTTCTTACTGCTCCTGGGCTCTGGTTCGAGCTACAACACAGGAGAGCAGGGATCTGCTCTCCTGCAGCACCGAGATTTCGGTGCTGCCTCACTGAGGAACTGCGGGCTCGGGGAGCGTCCTGCTGAGCCTCCCACACAGTCCCAAAGATCGTGCAAATGAGCTGCTAATCTAGCTGCTTCACAGCTGACTCTGGAGCTCAACCCTGCCGCCTTGCGGCTGTTTCTGGCTATCGCTAATCGCTCGGGGTCTGGTAAGAGCCTAAGGAGCGACGGAGGGAGTGCAACCATCCCAGGGCTGCCACACATGGCAGGTGGCCATTTTGAAAGTCAGGTGGCCAATTTGTTTCCCTAATTGGGTCTCACAGCTCCCTCAGCTCAGCTGGCGCCCGCTACACACAGCACTACCACAGGGGGAGCTCACAGCACCTCTTGTGTTGCTGTTTTGTGGAAAGGAGAGGGAAGTCATTGACCCCAAGAAGAAGCCTAAGATTCTCAAGCCCCTATGAGGAAGAAACGAAGACAAAGAGGCCATTCTGCCAATAGAGATGCTGCTGCTAAGATCAGAGCCAAGGCCCTGAGCTCCCAAAAAGACTTCCAGATCAGAGCTCAGGCCTGTGAAGAGAAGGCATGCTGCTCTGGAAAAGCAGTTTGCAAAGACATTGGCACAGATGAGAGACCAGATCCAGCAGGCTTCTCATCCATGGGAGGTACAGGGTTGCCCAGAGGCTTCTATAAGGGAGGGATGCCCCAGCTCTCTAACCACCTTTTAGCTTGGTCTCCAGAGAGGGTGAAAGAAGAGCTTTTACCCCAGAATTTGAGCAAATTAGACAGTCAGCTTGGGGCCCTGGTCCCTCCTTTCCCATAGGTCAAATATTCCAAGGGAGCCACAGGCCTAGGCCTGAGGCAACCTTCACTCCCACTGCTGCAGGCTTGTGTCCATTGGACCCCCCACAGAGAATAGGCCTCATAACATCAGGGAAATGGTCTCAGTGGCCATAAGGCAGGGCCTGGCTGAGGGGTTTCAACAACTCCTTCGCCCACCAGGGGGAGACAGTCCTTGTTTCCTAACTTGTCCCAAGCAGTCTCTTCATCCCACAAAGGCCTTCCCAGACAACAGTTCAGTTTCCAGCCTACCCAATCAGATTGTGGCAAGGATGAGGAGAGGGATTATACCAACCCTTCTGAACACAGTCGCTCCTCTTATTCTGAGGAGGAGGAAGGTGAGGTCAGAAATCCTAATATGTCAGAGGAGGAAGAATTTAGATCTGATCACCCTCCTCCAGCAGCGTTTTTTAAACCTTCATTATTTAAATCGCTTCTGCACAAAGCTTTGGTCACGGCCCAGCTAACCCCTGAGGAGGGGCTCCAGAATCACAGGTGTCCTCTTCCAGGCACAGTGACTCTCTATTCTCCAAGCCAGTGGTTCATACTGAGGTACTCCCTTCCCCACTGATATTCCTTGACTTAGTGGTGGAGCAGTGTAGCCTCCCGGGTCGGGGCCTTGTCCTTCATCACACGACAGGTAATTTTATAACGTGGGCCTGGCCTTGGTCAACGCTCTGCTGGTTTCCTCAGTGGACGCCCCAGAGGTAGTCTTGTTCTCTTCATCAGGCACCCCCACTGAGCCAGAGGATGTGCTTAAGGCAGAGGGCAAAAGGTCTGAGCAAATCATCAAGCGCACCCACTAGGCAGCGGCTTGGGCTATCGGCATCTACAGCAGTTTCGTTTTTCACAAGATCTTCATTGCACTGGCTACACCAACTGTAGGAGAGGCTCCCAGCCACCGATTTCAGGGCACATCAAGATCTCAACAAGATAATTATACCGGCAGAATTCATGGTGGACGCTACATTGAATTCAGCCTAGTTTGCTTCAAGAGCCATGGCCTCC